GAATATATGAACTTTTTTTTCTAAAAATAATACTACATAAGTACGTATGAGTCTGAATAGGGATCAATTTACTTCATTGTCAGTGAAACAATGTAAATGGTAATGAGGTTATTTTATGGGATAGCAGGATCAATATGTATTGTTATCTACGTTAGTACATAAGAGGCTCATTCCTATTCACGATCTGTAAATCTGTAATGCACATTATACGTGTTATCTAGATTGGCAACTTCTCAAAAATCGGTCGACTCTGTCCCACAACTTCTCGAAACCCACTTTTACATTGGCCTTATCCAAAATGTCAGCGTCGATTAGACTTTAAAATTCCGTTCGATCTTCAAAATTGTAAGCGTATTTTAGATTTTTAGCTATTTTTTAAAATATACATGTTGTTTATGTTTTTACCTGCATGTCGAGTATCATCTAACAATTTAAATCGCCTATTGTTCCTCTTTGGACCATCTGATATGATCACCAAAAGATATACAAAAAAGAGTGAGCCTGTTATATGAGCAAACACAATCCAGACCTCAGCGCCAAATGTGTGTCTTGAGGAGTAATGTCATCAAAAAATAATAATAAGTAATAATAATAATAAGTACCAAAGCCCTCCATAACAAATCAAATGATATTGTTAAACTTCTTTCTAACTCCTTATTTATTATATTACGGGTATCACAGGTTTTGGCTCGGCAATTTCGTTTTTTTAATGATGCAATTTAGTTAAATAAAACAAAACAAATGAAATTGTTTAAATAAAATAACTAAGCTGAAATTGTTTAAATTAAATTGACAGAAATAAAATATTTTAAAATATTTACACTAAAAATTATAAAACAAAGAAAACCACATAAATAAAAAATGTAAAGTAGTTGTCGTCAACCAATTCCACCATAAAAATATCTCTTAAAGGCTTTAATTTGATTATTATAAAATTTTATATTCGAAATAAAAACTTTAGTGTTTAGAAAAAAGATGAATAGCATGCAAATTAAAAAAGTATTATCTTCACATTTCTCTCTCTTCAATTCAAACATCAATCATATAGTTTTATTTTACTATTCCAAATACCGATCGATCGAATTTGATGAAATTATAAATGACAAAGAGAATACTTGGTACATGTAGTACGGAGTATTATTTAGTTCATGCAAGCCATTAATAACAAAAAGAAGTCCATATATTTTGTTTCCGCACCACATTTGATTTTTATTCGCCAAAATTAACAACAATTGAGTACACCCTATAGCAGATTTTTATGATGTTAATTAATATTCTTATCCAAATCTTTTCACATTATCACATCTACGTTTCATCATGTAGGAGTCTCAGGCTCTCAGCTCCCGATGCCTCCTCCACATTCTACACAACCGTCTTCTCACAAAGATATACGGATGGAAAAAATGATCAACATATGTTCGGCTTGAAAGGTACTCCGTAAATTTGTAATTTTACAAGAGTAGAGATGCTAAACTTGATTGAAAGGTAATCAAGACTATCTATCTTGGTTTTTCATCTTCTCATCTTCTACTATTTTCATTATTATGAATCATCAACCATGAACATATCTTGATTCCTCTTCTTTCAATTCACATTGTAGGAGACCCGTTTTCATTTTCCTTTCATTTTAATTTTCGATTTGTTTCCTTTGTGGAATGAAATCAGATTTGAAGCGAAATGCATTCCTAGATGCTCAACAATTAAACAAAAAAATACAATTTTATTCATTTTATGAGAATTGATACACAAAATTTCATGACGAAGACTACAATCTCCACGCTACGAATCCATGTTATTACAGAACCCGAATGCAATTTTTAATTTCTGAAAACCTGTGCCTTCATCTCACCATTATCACTTTTAGCAAGCTATGCACATACTCTCAATTCGATTGCCAAATGCGTTGCTCATGTCTTGTGAACCAATGCCTTAACCATTACAAATGTTGCAGCCATCTAACAATTTTAATGAAATAAATGTTTATACAAATTAACAATAATACGTACGGAATAGTATATAAAATAAAATAAACCAAATAACGAACATTTAATATAGTTAGCATTAACGAACAGTAATCATTACTGTATTTCTTTTCAGATGACTTCTCTCTTCATACCCTTTTGGTTGGCTTAGTCCTAGGCTCCTAGCCGGGCCATTCAAGGACTGTGAGGTGTATATATAGGAGGATGTTGGCCATTGTTGGGTAGAAGCTTACCCATCAAAACCATATTTTATGCTCATTGGAAACTTTAAACAACATTGTGGCAGCAATTACCTCGAGCAGCGCAACTTAGAGAAGCTAAAAAACCAATCAATTGCTACAATTTATTAAATGAATAAATTAATTGTACAACCACATCTTATATCTCGGCAGCATCATTAATCCCAATGTACGAAGTTGCTTTTTATATTGAAATTAAAAACAACACAATTACACTTAAGCGGATACTGCAGTTCCCGCCCAAACCTTTGCTCCACTTTCCCGTTTTTATATATAGGAAAAGTCGCTGTGTACACTCCCGGTTACACACCGGTGTACACAGCATAAAAAGCCCACCCCACCCTTTTTCTAACTATCTCACCCCACCCTCCTTCTGAACTAACCCGTCCCACTCCCCTTCTCCTCCCATGCGCCCTTCTCTTTCCCGTCACCCCACAAAAAAAAACCGCTACCCACTCCCTCTTCTTCTCCGTTCATCCGTACCCTTCTCCCTCTTCTTCTCCGTTCGTCCGTCGAAGTTGACACCTACGAAACCCAAGAAACCAACAACGTTCTCTGTTCTCCGTTCGCAAGTCACGAAACCCGCCGTCCCGCGCAACAGTTGAATCGACGAAATCCATCCGACCGTCGTCCGCTTCACTCCGCTCAACTGGTACGACGGCGACTGAATTCGAAGGGCTAATCTGAAATTTTAAAGTGGAAGGCTTCAATGGTCATCCAGGGCTAATGAACGAAGGACATGGTGCGCACATCATTGTAGTTCAGAGGTAAAGATCTGCAAAACCAACTTCTTTTGTAGTTCTTAATACTTTGTAGTTCCCTTTTTTTTGTAATTTTTTGAATTTCTGCATTTTGAGATGGGTTTTGTGAGATGTCGGTGTAGTGTGTTGTTATGTGTTTGTGGATTTAGAGTTCCCTGTTTTTTGCATTTCGTATGTCCTTCACAGAGCTCCAGTGGATTTCCCTGTTCTGTGTATTTTGAGATGTCTGTAAAGTGCATTCTTATGTGTTTGTGCATTGTAGAATTCTGTTTATGGGTTTCCTGAGATGTCTGTGTAATATGTTGTTATATTTTTGTGGATTTAGAGTTGTCTTTATGTCCTTTATGAGATGTCTGTGTGGCTGTGATGCTTGCCTTTATTTTTATAGTATTTCGATTTGAGAAGTCTGTATCCTGTGTTCTAAAATGTGTGTGCATTGTAGACTTGTCTATTTGCTGTTCCTGAGATGTCTGTGTACTTTGTTTTTATATGTTTGTTCATTCTGTAGTTGTCTATATAGTTTTCCTGAGATGTCTGTGTAGTGTTCTAGCATATGTTTGCGCATTTTTTAATTGTCTATAAGGATTTGTTGAGATGTGTGTGTACACTGTTCTTATACGTTTGCGGCTAGCAGAGTTGTCTTTATGGTTTTGCTGAGATGTCTGTGTAGTGTGTTAATATATGTTTGTTTATTGTGTAGTTGTCTATATAGTTTTCCTGAGATGTTTGTGTACTTTGTTTTTATACGTTGTGCATTTTTGAGTTGTCTATATGGTTTTCATGAGGTGTCTGATGTCTGTCAGCATTGGTTCTGTGCAATTTTTTAGGATGGAATTGCAAAGATACAATTCTCTGCTCAACTGATTCAAAACAATTGCTATTAAATTTTTATTTGTTTGATCAGTGTTTTGAGGTTAGGCCTAATGTGTAAATGATCTTGGTTTGTACTGGCTTAGTCGAACAAAAATATCATTATGAGTTTAACTCGATCGTCGGACCTCTTTATTAATAGAATGTTTTGTTGTATTGTTTCAAGGTACAGATTATCGTCAGGTTTTGAATTCCAATTATGACAAAACCTATACACGGATAAAGAAAGGTTTATGGATGTTTGATGTGCTCCAATGCAAGAATGAGAGGATCAAGGAACACGATAAATTGATAACTAAATATTTAATTTAATACTTGTAATTAATAGTTTCTGAAGTTAATGTTATTGTTTGTAGAATGTAATTGTACTTAGATTTGCTTGATTTTCAATGATGTATCATATACGTTATGAAAATTGATATGTCTTTGGTGTTATTGGATTTCAAACGTAAGTGTAATAGAATTTGTTGTGGAATATAATAGTTGTGTGACAAAAAATCCTTTTTATTCATTTGGGAAAACGACATTTACATGGACAATTCACCTTAAAATTGTGTAACTCAAAAATTTTTATTCATGTCGCACACAATTCACCTTAAAATTTATATAGCAATTGTTTGTACATAGACAAAACTTGTATAAACATTGTCTGTATACAAACAAAACTTATACACAAACACTTGGTTAAAATATTCTCCATGCGTTTGATTGTTTCGTCTGTGCGTAATAAATAATTGTTTGTATGTCGTTTTATATTGTCTGTGCCCAGACAATAGTTGGTTGTAACCAAAAACAAGTTTATCTTTGTGTGCCCAAGCATAAATATCATTCAGACAAAGGTTATTTTAATTCTATTCTATGATATGAATCAAGAATTATTTCACGTGTTCTTTTTGTAGTTGTAGTATTTTAACAAAGGTTGGGCTTCTTGTACATGCCCCATTTTGTTGTGCACAATAGTCACTCAAGATGTATTATCTAAGTATATTGACTAAAGTTATTTATTATACACACAAACAATAGTTATTTATACATAGATAATAATATGTTTTTTTTCTTTACACAGACAATTATTATATATACACAGACAATAGTTATTTATGCTTTCGACAATAGTTATTTATGCTTTAGACAATTTTTATGTATATCCTGAAAGTAAAATGGAGTGTTTGAATTGAAATTCATACTAAAGTCGGCAGGAAGAAAAAATGAACATATCTTATCCAACTACACTTTCATTCCAACATTTTATCAAACATATTCTGGGCAAGAGAAAAAACAAAACTAAACAAAAATAATGTTCCTTGTGGGAGGCTGTTGTGAGTCCTCAACAGTCTGCTTTGGACAGCGTCATCAACGGTGATATCATGGAGATACCCCACCTACAGCCCGTCGAACCTCGATTCCATCAATCTCATTGCCAGAAGTTGGCGAAGGCCGCAGTGACAGAGGCTCCTAAAAAAAATTCTTGTCCAGAGTATTGCGCACGAAAGTAATCTTTTATTGGAATTTACAATTCCATCCTAAAATATTGCACACAACCAATGCTGACATACATCAGACATCTCATGAAAACCATATAGACAACTCAAAAATGCACAACATATAAAAACAAAGTACACAGACATCTCAGGAAAACTATATAGACAACTACAGAATGAACAAACATATAAAAACAAAGTACACAGACATCTCAGGAACAACAAATAGACAAGTCTACAATGCACACACATTTTAGAACACAGGATACAGACTTCTCAAATCGAAATACTATAAACATAAAGGCAAGCATCACAGCCACACAGACATCTCATAATGGACATAAAGACAACTCTAAATCCACAAAAATATAACAACATATTACACAGACATCTCAGGAAACCCATAAACAGAATTCTACAATGCACAAACACATAAGAACGCACTTTACAGACATCTCAAAATACACAGAACAGGGAAATCCACTGGAGCTCTGTGAAGGACATACGAAATGCAAAAAACAGGGAACTCTAAATCCACAAACACATAACAACACACTACACCGACATCTCACAAAACCCATCTCAAAATGCAGAAATTCAAAAAATTACCAAAAAAAATGGGAACTACAAAGTATTAAGAACTACAAAAGAAGTTGGTTTTGCAGATCTTTACCTCTGAACTACAATGATGTGCGCACCATGTCCTTCGTTCATTAGCTGTGGATGACCCTTGAAGTCTTCCACTTTAAAATTTCATATTAGTCCTTCGAATTCAGTCGCCGCCGTACCAGTTGAGCGGAGTGAAGCGGACGACGGTCGGATGGATTTCGTCGATTCAACTGTTGCGCGGGACGGCCGGTTTCGTGACTTGCGAACGGAGAACAGAGAGCGTTGTTGGGTTCTTGGGTTTCGTAGGTGTCAACTTCGACAGACGAACGGAGAAAAAGAGGGAGAAGGGTACGGATGAACGGAGAAGAAGAGGGAGTGGGTAGCTGTCACGCCCCGGACCTCCCCGGACACGTCAACAACCCGCCGTACAATACGAATAGTCAACCGCAGTCCAACGCATTCATATTATACAAGGCGTCATGAATATCATTCACACATAAGTCATCCATAAACATACATAATAAGCAATTCAATACGCAGCGGAAAACATTGTTTAAAACAAAAGGGCCACACAGGGCAAACATGAGCACGCAGGCTCTAAAGTAAAATATCCATGAGCATGTTTATTAATGTTCTAAAACAGAATGGAGGAAGCACGAACCAAGTCTTCTCTCCGGGAAATCACTCGGGCAACGAGCACAGGAAGCAAGCTCTAGCCTCAACCTGAAATGGTGGTGGGACGCCCCCGAAGGGGTCAGTACTCTATACGGCTATAAAGTACTGGTGTGGCAGGCATCTAATAGATATACAACAAGTATTTCATGCACAAGACCCTCAAATAGGGTGATAGTATATTATGATTTTTAACCCTAAGTTACCCATTTGAAAATATACTTACTTTAGGTAAAAGTCAAGTAGTCGGCCCGTGGGCCCATGTTCATTTAGAAATCACCATTCCCATTTCCCGTGGCTACAAGCCACGACAACTCAATAGAGTCCAACCCTAACACATGACATTGTATTCTAGAGCTCGGCTCTACTACATCACCATACAATTCATGTCACTCGGGTCAATTCCTTACCTTGCGTTCTAGAGCTCGGCTCTATTACATCACCACGCAAGCCCTAGAGCTCGGCTCTAGCTATACAATACATAGAATCCAAGTCTATACCTTACATACATTCTAGAGCTTGGCTCTATCACATCACCATGCATTAAGGTCCAATTCTCAAGCAAACCTATGCCTAGAATTGACATATCATTAAACTACCATGGGTCATCCTTCAAGACTTCCCATCACTTAACCTTAGCTTCATACTAAGTTATTATATACACTTGAACTATATTCAAGTACCCTTCATACAATCCAATCCCTAGAGGATCAATTTAATCAACAAGTTCCAATAATCACTAACTAGTATTTCAATACTATTAAGATTATTGTTATCATACCACTGTCCTCTTTATTTGTAATTCTCTACATAATTATAATTATGTAGCAGCAACTTAAGTATTCAATCTCAATACACAAATATTCATTTATGTATCCAAATACTACATACATGAGCAAAATACCCATTTCGCAAAAATAGTTCATTTATACTCATTAAATCTCATATTATTCATACATTCTCAAATCATTTCAAATTTCATTCTTTGGCAACTATATCAACATTTCATCAATATATGATCATCATAATCCATGAAAAATAATGACTTAAGCATTTAGGTAATCTCATACTTAACCTACAAGTTGTAAGCAATTAGATGTCAATCCTCACCTCAAATGAGCTTTAAAACTTTCCTTCTCGATCCAATGACCCAAAGCCTCGGCCAAGGAAGATTGAGAACTGATTCCTTGCTTGGAATTGAGTGTTAAACAGCCCCCTCAAAGTGCTAGTTCAACTCCTAACCGAAAATGCAAAAACAGTCCCTAGAACGGGTGTTTCCCGACGAATTCGTTCCCTAACCTTTCAAGGTTTTGTCTAGGTTAGTATCTAACCTTTCCAACAATTAAAGTCACATAATAATAACATTTTATACACTTCAATCAGTGTATAATAGTTCTTCAATCATGTATATGATTTAGACAATAGAGAGGAAGGTTTTGGATTCAAACTTACTTTGAATACAAAAACGTATTCTGCGAGATCGTGTTTTGCTCGGTCGATTTGGAGGCCTTCCACTACTCCGATTTATGCAAACAAGACCTTCACGGATTCCTCGTCTTGAGAGCTTTCTGTTGGTATCTCGCACGCCTTATTTGGGTGCGTAAATCTCAAGTTATGGCTCAAACAATCAGAGCTACGCACTGAAGAACGCACCTGCGAACTGCTCTCCTCCTTCCTTCTCTCTTGGATTGTGTGGATTCCCTTGCTCTCTTATCTCTTTGGGGGTTCGAATGGGGTGTGTGGGGAGTGTATTAGGAGCCCCTAAACATGCTAAAAGAGTATGTGGCTCACAAAAGAACATGGAAGATATTTGGTTTGCAATCAAATATGGGGTGGACCTCCCCCTTTTGTTTTCTCTTGGAGTTTTTTGTGCATGTGAGCCAAGAGTCCGCCCCATATGGCCTTCTCACCTCTTTTCACTTGTTTTGCAGGTACTAAGTCCATGTGGAATGGTTCCCAATTGATCCCAATCATTTTGGGATCCAAATTATCTACCAATACTTCCAAAAATGGGAAGATGAGTCCTATTGTTTTATCTTTTGTCAAAGATGTCTTTTTGTACTCATCCTAATTTATTTAGCACAAGTCAACTTCCTAAATCACATTATTGATCTCCAATATGTGTAGGCTCATCCCAATAATTTACTTGATTGATATTATAGAAGGAAAATCCTACACCCATTATTTAGCTCAATAATGCCAAAGATGGGGTTATAGGCATTTGTATTCTCCTTTAATCATTCTATCACTTATTTGACATTTGTCATACATATTATTGGACTACTAGCCGTGTGGGTCACTCCCGAGTGGATCCAGAACGCCATTCTCGAATACTTGCTATTTTTAGCAGGTTGGGCCCAGAATGAGTATTCGCAAGCCCGATACTAATATACGAGTTCGAACAGTATAATAATCGGTCATTAATTACGTAAAACATTAATCGTTTTACAAATGTTTGGGAATCAGAAATCCAATACATAAACTTTGAACTTTAAATCAAATTTTCAAGGACCTTCGGGAGCGGTGTCACAAGTTCACCCCCCCTTAACAGGAATTTCGTCCCCGAAATTCACAGCTCTACTCAAATAGGAATGCATACTGCTTCCTCATCAAAGCTTCTGTTTCCCAAGTCTCTTCTTCGACCCGGTCACTCTTCCAAAGGACTTTAACCATTGGAACTTCTTTACTCCTCAGTTTCTTCACTTTTCTGTCAATAACTCTTACCGGTTGCACGGCATAGTTCAAATCTTCACGTACCTCCACGGGCGGCTTCTCCAACACATGAGAAGGATCATGCACATACTTCTTAAGCATGGACACGTGAAACACATTATGAATCTTCTCCAACTCAGGAGTCAACTGTAGACGATATGCTACGGCCCCCACCCTCTCTATAATTCTGAATGGGCCTATATATCGTGGGTTAAGCTTTCCTCGGGTTTGGAATCGAATGATTCCTTTCCAAGGAGAAACTTTCAGGAATACCTCGTCGTCAACCTTAAACTCTAAGGTCCTTCGACGCTTATCTGCATAACTCTTTTGCCTATCCTGAGCCGCCTTGAGTCTCTCTCGAATCAGCTTCACCTTTGACTTGGTGACCTCAACCAACTCAGTACCCTCGAGTTTGGCCATGCCAACCTCATCCCAGCATAACGGTGTACGGCATCTCCTCCCATACAATGCCTCGTATGGAGGCATGCCGATGCTTGCCTGATAACTGTTGTTATAGGCAAACTCCACAAGTGCTAAGTGGTTGTCCCAACTTCCTTGGAACTCTAATGCACAAGCCCTCAGCATGTCGTCTAAGATCTGTATGACTCTTTCAGACTGCCCGTCCGTCTGTGGGTGGAAAGCAGTACTGAACTTCAACCTCGTCCCCGTAGACTCCTGAAATTTCGGCCAAAAACGTGATGTGAATCGTGGGTCTCTATCGGATACAATGGTCACTGGAACCCCATGTAGCCTCACGATCTCATCCGTGTACAATTTGGCTAACCTCTCGAGTGGGTAAGTAGTGTTGATAGGTAAGAAGTGTGCACTCTTTGTGAGCCTATCTACAACAACCCAAACTGCATCATAGTTCCTGATTGTCCGTGGCAACCCTACCACAAAATCCATAGTCACGTGTTCCCACTTCCATTCAGGAATGGAAAGTGGTTGCAATAAGCCCGCTGGATGCTGATGCTCCGCCTTAACTTGTTGACAAGTAAGGCATCGACTGATATATTCGGCTATTTCTCTCTTCATACCTGACCACCAGTAGCTCTCCTTCAGGTCACGGTACATCTTCGTGCCCCCCGGGTGCATGGCATAAGCCGATGAATGAGCTTCCTCTAAGATGGACTTTCGGAGCTCGTCATCCGCCGGTACACACACTCGGTCACGAAATAATAAGAGACCGTCATCTCTTTCTCTGAAGTCCTCCACCGGTCCCGCTTGCATGCGTTCCCGGATCTTCATAATTTCTTCGTCGGTTTCCTGACCCTTCTTGATCTCATCAAGTAAAGTAGGTCTCACCTCAAATCGTGCCAATAAGGCACCCTCGCTGGATACCTCCAGTTGGGCCCTTAATGCCCTCAAATTAGCTAGCAACAGCCCAGACGAGCTTTTCCGGCTCAAAGCATCTGCCACCACGTTAGCCTTGCCTGGGTGATACTCTATCACCAGATGGTAGTCTTTTATCAACTCCATCCACCGTCTCTGTCTCATGTTTAGCTCTTTCTGAGTAAACACGTATTTCAAGCTCTTGTGATCAGTGTATATGTGACATGTCTCCCCGTAGAGATAATGTCTCCATATCTTCAGTGCAAACACCACTGCCCCCCAGCTCCAAATCATGAGTAGGATAATTCACCTCATGCTTCTTCAACTGTCGTGAAGCATAGGCGATTACCCTCCCATTCTGCATCAGTACACACCCAAGCCCTTGGATGCTCGCATCGCTATAGACATTGTACCCCACACCCTGTTTGGGTAATGCGAGTACCGGTGCCTCGGTCAATCGTTTCTTTAGTTCCATGAACCCCTTCTCACATTTGTCATCTTATACAAACTTAGCTCCTTTACGAGTGAGCTTCGTCAATGGTGATGCCAAAACAGAGAACTTCTCCACGAACTTCATGTAGTAGCCTGCCAATCCAAGGAAACTACGAATTTCCTTGACGTTCTTTGGCCTCTCCCACTCGGTAATGGCTTCTATCTTCTTGTTATCAACAGCAATTCCCGATCCAGAAACCACGTGCCCGAGGAAGCCAATCTCCTTTAGCCAAAATTCACATTTAGAAAATTTGGCATAAAGTTGCTTCTCCCGTAGTGTCTCAAGAACAAGTATCAAGTGCTCTTCATGCTCTTCTTCACTCCTTGAATAAATCAAGATGTCATCTATGAACACAATCACGAATCGGTCCAAGTATTTATGAAATACTCGGTTCATCAAGTCCATGAATGCCGCCGGGGCGTTTGTTAACCCAAACGACATAACAAGGAATTCAAAATGCCCATACCTTGTGCGGAAAGCACTCTTTGGTATGTCATCCTCCTTAAGGCTGGTTTGCAACCACTTTAAAAAAAGCACTTCTCAGCTTTTGGCTTAAAAAAGCACTTATTTACCAAACACTACCAATTTTTTATTTTTCTCGGCTTTCGTGTCAAAAGTGTTTTTCCACTTTTTATACACCAAAAGCACTTATTTTACCAAACACTACCAACTTTTACTTTTCAAAATCACTTTTTTCTCAAACACTATCAACTTTTACAAATAATCACTTTTTCCAAATCACTCCAAAAGTGCTTTTTTTAAAGCAGAAGCTGTTGCAAACACTCCCTTAATCTTCAATTGGTGGTACCCCGACCTCAAGTCAATCTTTGAAAACACGGTTGCTCCTCGTAGTTGATCAAATAAGTCATCAATCCTAGGCAAAGGATACCTATTCTTGATTGTGACCTTGTTCAGTTGACGATAGTCAATGCACATTCGGAGTGTCCCATCTTTCTTTTTCACAAAAAGAACTGGTGCTCCCCACGGGGAGTGGCTGGGTCTAATGAAACCATTATCCAAAAGCTCCTGCAATTGGGTTTTCAACTCGTTAAGTTCAGCGGGTGCCATACGATATGGCGGTATGGAGATTGGTTTGGTACCAGGCTCGACCTCGATCACAAATTCAATCTCCCTATCAGGTGGAAGCCCTGGTAAGTCTTTAGGGAAGACATCCGGATACTTACAAACCACCCTCACATCATCGATGTTCGTTTCTTCTTTGGTTTTGTCAACCACGTATGCTAGATATGCGTGGCATCCCTTTCTCATCATGCTTCTCGCTCTCACGGCGGATATGATGCAGCTATTTGATCTCCCTCGATCGCCCTCGAAGCGTAGGGTCTCCCCATCATTGCCTTCGAGTTCAAGAACCTTCGTGTAGCAATCTACCCTAGCATGGTTCCTTTCTAGCCAATTCATCCCTAGGATTGCATCGAATTCAATCATGCTCAGCGGTACGAAGTCACACGTCAAGGTTTGACCATTAACCTCCACCCCACAAGATGGATAGTAACAAGTTCTTTCCACGTCATCCCCTAGTGGTGTTGACACCACTAAGGTTTGCATCAATGGTGCGGATTGCACTCCCAACCTCTTCGCGAACGCTTCATTCACAAATGAACGTTGCGCCCCGGTATCGATAAGGATTCGCGCATCCTTCCCATTAATCTTTAGTGTTCCTACATTTATAAGTCATGTAAGATACCTTTCCTACCATTCTTACACATTTAGAGAGGTTTATTATGTTCACACATGTGTTTGGGATCAAGAACGGGTCTTAACGTCGCAAAACGGTGCGAAAAATCAATCGTCGGCAATCTGGGTGCCAGGCACGGCGTGCCTGGGGTAGGCACGATCGTGCCTGGCTTAGGAAAAAGCCCTGGGCGCTACTGCCTCCCAGGCACGGTGCCACGCACGGCGTGCCTGCGACCGTGCCTGGCCGAATTTCCTCGAGGAGGCCACTGCCTCCCAGGCACGGTGCCACGCACGGCGTGCCTGCAGCCGTGCCTGGCCGGAACTCCTCAGCGAGGCCACTGCCTCCCAGGCACGGTGCCACGCACGGCGTGCCTGCGGGCGTGCCTGGCCGGCAGTGGCTGTTTCCAGCCTGATTTGGCCTAACTCACCCGGTTTTGGCCCCGGGGTGGCCCGCACTCAATCCCAACGACGTACATGATCTAAGTAAGCCTAAAAGTGCCCAAAATAAGTGTATTACCAGCGACGGAGTCGGGATTAGCCCGAGCATCAGCCTCGGTCATTGCGTAGACTCTAGCTTGCGTCCTTCCTTGATTCACGGACGGCGCGTTACTCGCGCTTGCTCCCCCTTGCCCCCTGGTTACTTGGGAACCCCCGGCTTGGTTTCTACTTCCCGCAGCCCCGCTACTTGGTCCTGATGTCCTTGCCCCACCCAACTGGGGGCAATGCGCCTTCAAGTGTCCGGCATCCCCACATTGGAAACATCTAGGGGGGTCGCGACACTTACCGGAGTGATTCTTCTTGCAATTGTTGCAACGAGTTATCACCGAGGTTTGTGACCTCGAGCCTTGCCCACTCGGGCCTTGGTTCCCCCTAGACGGTGGCGGCGGTGCCCGGAAAGATCCTCCTCCATGGTTCCCCTTTTTGTTGGAACCTTGGGAGCCATGACTCTCCCACTTTCTCTTTTTCGCCTCCTCGGCGTCTCTCTTCTTCCTCTCCTCCCACTGTTTCTCCCCCTTCAACGCTTGGTCAACCACTTGGGCGAAAGTCATATTAGGCAATTGTGTTGCCCTATCACGTATCTCCAAGTCAAGAGCATCCCAAAAGTGGTTTACCATTCGGTTCTCGTCACAAGCATACTCCGGTATGTAGTCGGCGAGATCCCGGAACTTGTACTCAAGTTCCTTCACTGTCATGTTGCCCCCTTGGGTTAGGAGGGTGTATTCCCTCACCTTCTTGTTCACTTCAAAATCCGAATAATATTGGGCAAAGAACTCCCGTTGGAAGTCCTCCCAAACGACGGTCTCACCGTACTTGCTCTTGGTTCCATCCCACCACTTGGATGCCATCCCCTCGAGCAATCTTACCGCAATTCTCAGTTTGAGATTCGGCGCGATTTGCATGTCAAGGGCTGCTTCATTTAGCCTCTTGATCCATTGTGCTGCAACTGAAATGTCCCCTGCTCCATCAAAGGGTTTGCACCCCAAATCCCTTGCTTCTTTGATAAATTTGGAGATCCTTATGGTTGGACCTCCATCATTTTGGCCTCCATGTGGTTCCACATGGACTCTAGATGCACCATGACTTCCTCCTCCTGAAGCCATGCCCGAAGGTTGCCCCGCTCGGCGTCTTCGGCGTTGCCTCCTCTCTTCACGCTCCCTGTGGTATTGTTGGAGTAGTGCTTCGATCCGTGCTAAGGAGCCATTTTCCTCCTCATCACTTACATCGTCATCATCCCCTTCATAAGGGGTCTCAACCGGCTCTGTCTCCGGTTGGTAAGTCGAGTCCTCATAGGACCAGTAGGTCTCACTTTCCGTGTCAACATGACCGTCACTCACGGTCTGTGATCGGCCTCCACGGCCAGCTCCTCTAGATGCCCTAGAGGTCCTTCGACTGCCCTGTCCAGTCTCCACTGGTACACGGCCCGTCGGGTTTCTCCTAGTAATCCTGCCACCACGGTCCATTTCTGAAAGAAATTTGGAAAGAGTCGTTAGACTCGTATCAAATGTCAATTGACGGATAGGTACTTAAGACACATTTTGGCTCGAGTCACCGCCATACCAATTGCTAAGGGTACCATCTTAACAATTAGAGACCTTGCAACCCAAGTACCAAAAGCTCTCCAAGTACAAAACTTCTATGCTCATGGTTTTCAAAATCTTTTCAAAAGAGAATTTTGAGACTTCATTATGAAGTTTATGGACTAAGGCTCTGATACCAACTTAATTGTCACGCCCCGGACCTCCCCGGACACGTCAACAACCCGCCGTACAATACGAATAGTCAACCGCAGTCCAACGCATTCATATTATACAAGGCGTCATGAATATCATTCACACATAAGTCATCCATAAACATACATAATAAGCAATTCAATACGCAGCGGAAAACATTGTTTAAAACAAAAGGGCCACACAGGGCAAACATGAGCACGCAGGCTCTAAAGTAAAATATCCATGAGCATGTTTATTAATGTTCTAAAACAGAATGGAGGAAGCACGAACCAAGTCTTCTCTCCGGGAAATCACTCGGGCAACGAGCACAGGAAGCAAGCTCTAGCCTCAACCTGAAATGGTGGTGGGACGCCCCCGAAGGGGTCAGTACTCTATACGGCTATAAAGTACTGGTGTGGCAGGCATCTAATAGATATACAACAAGTATTTCATGCACAAGAACCTCAAATAGGGTGATAGTATATTATGATTTGTAACCCTAAGTTACCCATTTGAAAATATACTTACTTTAGGTAAAAGTCAAGTAGTCGGCCCGTGGGCCCATGTTCATTTAGAAATCACCATTCCCATTTCCCGTGGCTACAAGCCACGACAACTCAATAGAGTCCAACCCTAACACATGACATTGTATTCTAGAGCTCGGCTCTACTACATCACCATACAATTCATGTCACTCGGGTCAATTCCTTACCTTGCGTTCTAGAGCTCGGCTCTATTACATCACCACGCAAGCCCTAGAGCTCGGCTCTAGCTATACAATACATAGAATCCAAGTCTATACCTTACATACATTCTAGAGCTCGGCTCTATCACATCACCATGCATTAAGGTCCAATTCTCAAGCAAACCTATGCCTAGAATTGACATATCATTAAACTACCATGGGTCATCCTTCAAGACTTCCCATCACTTAACCTTAGCTTCATACTAAGTTATTATATACACTTGAACTATATTCAAGTACCCTTCATACAATCCAATCCCTAGAGGATCAATTTAATCAACAAGTTCCAATAATCACTAACTAGTATTTCAATACTATTAAGATTATTGTTATCATACCACTGTCCTCTTTATTTGTAATTCTCTACATAATTATAATTATGTAGCAGCAACTTAAGTATTCAATCTCAATACACAAATATTCATTTATGTATCCAAATACTACATACATGAGCAAAATACCCATTTCGCAAAAATAGTTCATTTATACTCATTAAATCTCATATTATTCATACATTCTCAAATCATTTCAAATTTCATTCTTTGGCAACTATATCAACATTTCATCAATATATGATCATCATAATCCATGAAAAATAATGACTTAAGCATTTAGGTAATCTCATACTTAACCTACAAGTTGTAAGCAATTAGATGTCAATCCTCACCTCAAATGAGCTTTAAAACTTTCCTTCTCGATCCAATGACCCAAAGCCTCGGCCAAGGAAGATTGAGAACTGATTCCTTGCTTGGAATTGAGTGTTAAACAGCCCCCTCAAAGTGCTAGTTCAACTCCTAACCGAAAATGCAAAAACAGTCCCTAGAACGGGTGTTTCCCGACGAATTCGTTCCCTAACCTTTCAAGGTTTTGTCTAGGTTAGTATCTAACCTTTCCAACAATTAAAGTCACATAATAATAACATTTTATACACTTCAATCAGTGTATAATAGTTCTTCAATCATGTATATGATTTAGACAATAGAGAGGAAGGTTTTGGATTCAAACTTACTTTGAATACAAAAACGTATTCTGCGAGGTCGTGTTTTGCTCGGTCGATTTGGAGGCCTTCCACTACTCCGATTTATGCAAACCAGACCTTCACGGATTCCTCGTCTTGAGAGCTTTCTGTTGGTATCTCGCACGCCTTATTTGGGTGCGTAAATCTCAAGTTATGGCTCAAACCATCAGAGCTACGCACTGAAGAACGAACCTGCGAACTGCTCTCCTCCTTCCTTCTCTCTTGGATTATGTGGATTCCCTTGCTCTCTTATCTCTTTGGGGGTTCGAATGGGGTGTGTGGGGAGTGTATTAGGAGCCCCTAAACATGCTAAAAGAGTATGTGGCTCACAAAAGAACATGGAAGATATTTGGTTTGCAATCAAATATGGGGTGGACCTCCCCCTTTTGTTTTCTCTTGGAGTTTTTTGTGCATGTGAGCCAAGAGTCCGCCCCATATGGCCTTCTCACCTCTTTTCACTTGTTTTGCAGGTATTAAGTCCATGTGGAATGGTTCCCAATTGATCCCAATCATTTTGGGATCCAAATTATCTACCAATACTTCCAAAAATGGGAAGATGGGTCCTATTGTTTTATCTTTTGTCAAAGATGTCTTTTTGTACTCATCCTAATTTATTTAGCACAAGTCAACTTCCTAAATCACATTATTGATCTCCAATATGTGTAGGCTCATTCCAATAATTTACTTGATTGATATTATAGAAGGAAAATCCTACTCCCATTATTTAGCTCAATAATGCCAAAGATGGGGTTATAGGCATTTGTATTCTCCTTTAATCATTCTATCACTTATTTGACATTTGTCATACATATTATTGGACTACTAGCCGTGTGGGTCACTCCCGAGTGGATCCAGAACGCCATTCTCGAATACTTGCTATTTTTAGCAGGTTGGGCCCAGAATGAGTATTCGCAAGCCCGATACTAATATACGAGTTCGAACAGTATAATAATCGGTCATTAATTACGTAAAACATTAATCGTTTTACAAATGTTTGGGAATCAGAAATCCAATACATAAACTTTGAACTTTAAATCAAATTTTCAAGGACCTTCGGGAGCGGTGTCACAGTAGCAGTTTTTTTTTGTGGGGTGACAGGAAAGAGAAGGGCGCATGGGAGGAGAAGAGGAGTGGGACGGGTTAGTTCAGAAGGAGGGTGGGGTGAGATAGTTAGAAAAAGGGTGGGGTGGGCTTTTTATGCTGTGTACACCGGTGTGTAACCGGGAGTGTACACAACGACTTTTCCATCTCCATGATTGGGCTTGCACTTAGCTTGCCGGTTTATCTCGTCTTCAGTCCAGTTCTAGCGTACTTAGTTAAATACGGTACAAGAATTAAATGAGGTTTAATGTGTATACATTTTATTAGGTAACATGAATGAAAAATACATTCAAAAATTCGTTGAAAAAAACCTGGACTTTTAAAAAACGTGTAAATACGTATACGTGTATAATACGGTATTTGTTACAGAAATTCGGACAAAAAATATGGGGTATCATTTTGAACATTTAAATTATACACTTCACAAAATAATATATATCGTAAAAAGAAATAAAAGTATACACATATTCAAGTAGCAAATCTCATCATCACATAAAAAATAATTCATAATTTCATAAGTCGATGACAAAAATAAAATTACTCCCTTCGCCCCGTTAAGATTGTCTCATTTTTACCATTTCGGGAAATTCCACTACGATTGTCCCATACCAAATTTGGTAAAGTTTGTGTGGCTCTAAATCATTCTTACTTTATTCTGACTTCATCAATTTAATAACAACCACACGAACCCACTTTTCTTAATAACCGTGTCACATTTTCTTGTCCCAATCTTAGTGGGACAAAGATAATATTAATTAAGTCCAAGATATAATTTTGCAAAATAATGTCAAAAAAATAATGCATAATAAAAATAGAATGAGATTAAGTCAAAATCATTGTCTTTATATGAGAAAAGTTGTGTGACTGGTACACTTATTATTGTTTGTGTAAAAGTTTATACTAAAAAAGGTCAAGTTCAGAAAAACCTTAATTTTGATATGGTTGTTTGGCAAAACATTAGAAACATAGGAGTATTTTAAGTTTTGGTCTTTTAGGATGCTAATTTTAGCTGCAATTAAGTTTAGTATTTAATAATTGTATTCTAACAATACAAAAACACGGGGTCATGGGGAGGACAAGGGAGGTTTGCATTTTTTACTTTTAAACTATTGTTGATCTTCTATGCATTTAATGCTTTCTTTCAATTGATCAATTCATTTCTATTTTTTGTGAAATACGGGAAAATTACATTTTATACAGGAAGTATACGTTTTTTCCTTTTTAAAAGGCCGACATTATTTATCTTTTTAAACGTGTTTTTTAGTTTAAAAAACGATACAAGTTTAAAATGTGTTTAAAACGCAAAAAAGCTAACTATGAGTTCTAGTGCCGGCAACCATGGTGGTGATTTTAATCCCAACCATGGTTAACAAATGATGGTTAAACACACTCCAAAAAGCTAACTAGGAGTTCTAGTGCCCGGCAACCATGGTGGTCGGCCTCCATGTTTTGAATTTATATGGCTTTTAGGATTAAATGAGGACAATATTGTCTATTTAACTGAAAACATTTCAGTACTAGGACTTAATTTTTTTAACACTCCCAAACTTCATTTTTTAGACTTACCTTCCCTTAAGGGCTCTTGTCAACACTTACTAATACTTTCATTACTAATATCTTTCAACACTTAAATTAAACAAGCTATAAGGGTGTTTAGGAGTTTAGGAGGGAAAGGGATGAGAATGTTTTAAAGGTTAGTCGAGAGAGGGGAAGGGGAGCGGAAGTGAAAGAGAACTTTGTTTTTGTTTGGGCGTTATAAATTTGAAAAGAGAGGAGTTACAAAATTTATAATTAAAACCGCATAAGATATATATACTCCATTCGTCCCAACTTGATTTGCAAAGTCAGTATTTTTTTGTCAATCTATGTTAAAGTTAAATCCCGCCTATTGATTATTAAATTAATTTTAATAACTAAAATGTACATATATAGAAACTTCATTAAAATCTCTATAGAGTTGCAAGATCCAAATTAGAATATAATTAAAAATCGTTGTCATAATTAAGTGAATAAAATGAAACTGTTTGATTAGGAAAAATTAACTTTGCAAGTCAATTGAGATGGAAGTAGAAGATTGTGGAAGTAGTCAATTGGGAACTTAAAGGTTTAACATTTGAAAGGTTGTGGAGAGTTACAAAAGTCATCTGAAACCCCCCTCCAATTTTGTATACTCCCAAATAAGAAAAGGAGGGTCATAAATCCGCCTCACCCCCCTCCAAAACTGAACTCCAAACATATCTTAACTGCGTATGTGTATTATCACATTGAGTTGATGTCTTTGATTTTGTCTATTTTTAGTAGACTTTTGTTCGTTGCTTACATGTGGTTATGCTTAAACTTCTAGTGTTTAAAATTGTTTTTACTTGAACTGAATTTTTTTGGCTTGGTCTGGTCTGATTTAATCTGAATTGGTCTGGTCTGAGAAATGTCTGATCTCTGTGTATTTTATAATTATCCCAATCTGGTCTGGTTTGGTCTGATCTAGGACTGAAAACAGTCCAAATAAAAACATCCTAAAACCCCGAAATTTAGTCAGACACGTATGGGTAAGAAACAATCACCATCTATCCCACTTGTGCCCCTATCTCATTGCCTTCTCCAACAACACCTGGTGGCGGCTGCTAGCAGAAATCGCCGCTTATTGTCTGAAAATTCTAATAGAATTTTCCCAAGGATTATGAAAAGTCACTTGAAAACTCCATCAGAATTTTTCACTTTTAGTTTGCTTTTATCTTTTCATCCTTTTTATCTTTCTCATGTTCTTATGTTATTTTTAGAGAGAGATATTATTATCTTGCCATAGCCCAACATTGGTGAGAAGCTCTATTGTAGGATTTCATGGTGTTGCCGCCATCTCTAGGAACTGTGGCCACCATCACCGGGGACACCATTGCTGTTGACGCCATGGAGAGACCTGGAGCTGTAGTTTGGGTGGCGTTGTCCCTCCCCTGTAAGAGATTTTTGATAGACGACGAAACGATTGGAAGATGAATGCCTCAACCTGGATCGACGGGGACAAGTTCATAAGACAATGAGGTGAAGGCGTGAAGCTAGATCTACAGGCGTCTTTCTCGATGAACATGCGGTTGGCTGAATGAGTTGTCGACGGCGTACATGTCGAAGGAAATGTCGGCAGTGGCAGCGCCGTAGGTGTGGTGGCCGCCAGTTGGGTGATACCGCTGGGCAATGAAGTGTGTTGGGTGGCGGCACAAGTGTGGTGGGCGATAGTGACACTAGGAAGTAGGTGGATGGCCAGCATAAAAGAAAGAAAGAGGGAAGAGAAAAGGAAAAGAGAAAATGAACGAGAAAAAGAAATGAAAAACAAAAAAAAAAGGAAAAGAAAAATAAATCCCACGCAGGTGCCCACTTGAGCGTTTTTTAAGAGGTCAAGGGTTCAACTGGGTGTTTTTAAAGTACGGGGGTTTAGTTAAATATTTATACATAATAGGAGGACGAATATTACATTTTTTCATGATTGATGCATTTATTACTAGTATAAATACATCAACATGCACTCTTCTAAAAAGTTGGTGAGAACAAAAAACACAAACAAAAATTGAACTGGGTAATCATAGAGAACCAGAACCACCACCCGCCCTATTACTGACCTAGTTCTACCTACTCGGAATGCGGGTCCGGTGCGATACTCGAGTAAAAACCCGTGTGATTTCGGTCAGGTCCAGTCTGGTTCCAAAACCAACACCGTGGCTGCCCTAATAGTTACTTCTCTCGATTTCTATCTTCATAATTTTCAATTGTTATTGTTATTATTATTATTAGATGTATTTTTTTAATAATGCAACATTGCAACTCATTCATCTGCAATAGCACCTGTCCTTACAAATTAAACCCATATTAAATTATTTACTCCGTGTGTGGTAGGAGAAGAGCAAGTGTGCAAGAAATGAGTGTTAAAAGTTAAACCACATTATTGTTCTTAAATATTGACTGTTTTAATTAAAACTGATAATGATGCAGACTAATTTCCTTCACACTGTCTAATATTTGCACCGATGAGTGTAAATAGCAGGGGGGCATGCTATGAGGCTATGAGCCCGCCTTAAATGTGAAACTAAGAAATCTTGATTGTACATGTATAATGTTTTTGTAAAAACAAATTGTTTGGAATGATTTATGTCTTGCTTCACCATTCTTTTTACTG